AAGTTTCTGTTCATGTCCTTTGCCCACTTTTTGATAGGGTTGTTTGATTTTTTTCTTGCTGATTTTCCTGAGTTCTGAATAGATTCCAGTTATCGGCCCTTTATCGGATGTGTTGCATGCAAAAATTTTCTCCCATTTTGTAGGTTGTCTGTTTGCTCTTGCGACAGTTTCTTTGGCTGTGCAGAAGCTTTTTAATTTAATCAGGTCCCATTTATTTATTTTTGGGGGATGGACATGCTTGAAGCTCTGACTCGGGGGGTAGGTGGTGGCAAGGGCAACATACGTAACCTAAACATTTGTACTTCCATAATATGCTGAAATAAAAAAAAAATAGGAAAGGAAAGTCTTAGATACCCAGTTTTGTAGTCAGCTCTGGTAGCACTTAATGAATTATCTGGGACTATGGTTCATTAAAGACTATCTTTTAAATAAATTATTGGCATGTTATACAAGAGTAATGTTCCAAATCCACACACACACTTTCCCCTGCTCACAAAGGCAAATGGACTGGCCAAAGTTTGTTCCCAGCTACATCCTCATATTTACCCTTTATTGTCCAAGTAGTTTCCTGCTCTTCAAACCTTCCTTTCTGGATTTTTCTCTCCCCTATTAAGTTAGTATATTTACTTATCTTTTTATTGGACTGATTATTCTAAGGACAAGCTCTTAGTTCACTTTCAGAGTAAAAGGCTTTGTGCCCTTTTTTAAAGTTGGGTGGCAGCAAGCAGGTGGAATTTTCCTGACTGCTTGGTAACATTAAAAGCAGCCCCACAGATAAACAGCGGTTGGAGTCTGTGTAAAGATTATTCCCATCTATGTGTGGGGTAGAGATTTACAGCCTCTTAAAGGACCTAGTTTAGTCCTGATGCTTCTTCACACCAACCCCTTCCTTCTAACCTAAGCTCTTCCATCAATACAAAAAAATTCTTAGAATGCAGTAAGTTGACTTAATCATAATGCCTGTTTTTTTTCCAATATTGTTAAAATAAGCCGTATTACCAAGGTAAATTGAAGTTATTTTATGAAGTCCAGTAAGACAGGAGATGGAAATAATTTCAGTAATTTAAAAACTATTGATTTATGTAGAGACAATTCTCTGTAAAAAGGCTAGCTGTGCTCAAGGACCCTTTAAGAGTTAGAATTCTATGTCAATAATGTGTTTTATAAGTTCTCATTCTGAATACAGAAAGAACCTATTCCTTATTTTTAATTTAACCATTTTCTGTATAAAATTTTAAATATAAATTTGTTTCATGATAGATTTTTGATTTCCTATTTCTTTAGGCATCAGAGCTTATATCAAGAACAGATTCCATGTGCCTAACCTTGTGTCTTCAAAAAAAGCCAGCCTACCATAAACATTGTTTAATATTAAGTATTCTATCCATCAAACATGGATTTGAAACTAAATCCATAAATTTTTAACTAGTTTGAAAGTCAAGTATGTATGTTTGGGTAGTTTTAAGAAAGTATAACATAAAACAGCATTAGTAACTATTTTTATTCTCAAATTGATAAAAGCATTTAACATATACTTTACAGTATAAACAAATTAAGTCCTATACATTTTGGCTTATAAAGTGACTTAAAGTATTTCAAGCATTATATAATTCAATTTGTACAAAAAGTAAATTTCCAAATAAAGCTTTGGTTAGTAGAACTGATTATGTACTGTCAAATCCATTTTCCAAAGTTGTTCAAGAAAAAAACTCCATCCGTTAGCACAGGTATTTCTTGTACAATCAAAGCTTTTTACTATTTAGAAGGGGATATATTACAATAATTGCTTTTAATTTTTAAGTCTGAAACAGCCTTTTTTCTTCTCATTAATATGTGGCTGCAGGATAGAACACCATCACTTTTGAAAACCAAATTATGTATAAAATCATTTTTCACTTTATCCTTAGGAGGGTCTATTTTAAAAATAGATTAGATCTGTAAGACTGTTAGCTTCCATAGCTACTGAGATACTTTTTAAAAGTCATACTACTGAAGAGAGCCATTTCAAGCATTAATGTATTCCACTGGGGGTAAATCACTTCTAATTTCCTGTAGGAGGATAATATCTACTAGCACTAGTGGCCAGAATCAAAGTTTATATAACTAAATGTAGCCCCAAACTTAACATTTTTACAGACTCTACAATGTATGGATTACTTTTATTCATATGAAAGTAATATAAAATGCTACCTAACTTAAATATCAGTTTAACCAAATTAACAAGCACAAAACTATAGACATTTTCTTATTAAAATTTTCCAGTTCACTGAGCAGTATCTACTCAAAATTGATTATGAACTTAAATATATCTTCTTTTAAATTTACTGTTTATGCTGAACTGTACACTGGTGGCTCCTTTTATGGTTTCTTAAAATTCTACTTACATAACTATGTAATTCCAAAATGGAAAAATGAGCCATCACTAAAATTTACTGGAGACTAATATTCTTTCATGGAAACAATTTATAAACATTTTAGACCTCTATCTTCAATCATTTCAATTTGGCTTTTTTAAATACATAAGCTTTTCATTTTGATTACTGTTTAATACTTCAAGACTAGTTTAAACAAAGACAAACAAAACCAAGGAGAACTGTTAAAGCATTCCTTACTTTACATACAATGCCTCAAGTGCCACATACATAGTAACATATCACAAAAAAAGAATTAATATGGTTTAGCAGATTACAGAGCAAACCTAAACATTTATACAAAGCTAAACATTGCCTCCCTTCTATTACATTTATTGTCTTTCAATTTGATCTTGGCTCTGTGTATTATCCTTCTATAATAACCACTGTGTGACACTTATCAGTTTTCTGTGTTTATCAGTGTTCCAATTACTTATGCATACCTCTTTTTCTTTAAATTGCTATGTAACATTAGAGAACATTCATCTAATCTTTTTTATTAGATACGATATACCCTACATTTTTCTTACAAAATGCTCACTTTCCTGAGCTATATTGAACACCTTATAACAGGTGTATGTATAACTGAAGACCCTAAAATGTCAAGTTTACATTTTAAAAAATGCATAGAGAACATTTCAGAAAACCTATTAGTATTCACTTCTTGGGTATTATAATATAGAGGTTTTGTTTCCTTCAGACTATAAACTATTTAATCTTTATAACTGGTTATTACTTTCACATCTGAACCACATTTTAAAGAATATTTTCAGATTTGATTGCTATTAGGCTAAAGAAACAAATGGAGTTTTCTGACCAACAATGATTCATTGGTTTTCCAATAAACGACCCTTATATACTCACTGAAGATATCAAATTTCTGTGGCACAAAATAGAGTTATATAAGAACTATAGCAAATACATTTTTATTATAATACGTTTGCTTGAAGTTAAGGTGCTATTCATCATGCCCTATATCATGCAGTCTTTACCAAGTGGGCATCATGTCTGGAAACCACACCCTACCAAGATGCTTGGACACTTCCCAATGAATCTGTTCCAAACTATACTTTTGGTCAGGAATTAATACTTCTTCCATAATCGATAATTGAGACAGGCGGCCACCGCACATCTTCACAAACTCAACAAAGGCACTACATGAGACTTCACATTCCCCTAGTCCAATAGCTGACAAATTTTTGCAACGTTCTGCAATGCGAATCAACTCTTCATCAAGTGGCCGTAATCCATTAGCACACACTACTAATTCAACTAGTCTAGGGCAAGTCATTCCCACACGGCCAAGCACATCTTTGCTTACTGATCTCCCAAAGTAAAGATGGGTGGCAGGTATTTCATAACGAAAAAATGGGTCAAATTCCTCTTCATATAAAAAAAAATACATCACTAAGTTCACTTTGGGTGAATGTCTGATGAAAGCATCCCAGCTGCTCTTCTGAATAGTATGGAAGTGTGTCTGTCCAGGATTCTCACTGACTATATCGATGCGCAGATGTTCTAATCGAACATGTTTTTCAGAAGACAAAGCAAGTAGCAACTCATCACTTAATAAGTGGTAGTTCAGGGCTAGTTCTCGTAAGCCATGACACTGATCAGCCACACAAAGGATACCTTGGAAGAAAGAAAAAAAAAAACTAACTATTTACAAGATTTTATACAAATTCATCTGCTCAAAAATTCAATCGAGTATATGTTGTATATGCTGTTTTATGACAGTCTTGTAAGTTAAAAATAAAGTACATATTGTATAAAATTTTGCCATATTTTCCTTACTACAAAACTATACAATTTAAAATGTACTTACATAGTTGAATTAATAGAAGGAAAGTCACATTTTAAATTATTTTTTCTATAAGAAAATGAAACCAATTCTAAATCCAATACCTCAAAAAGAAATGAAGCTCACTTATCAACTCACAAAATAATAAATTATTAATAACTGTCATTTTAGAAATATACTATGACTAAGTAAGGTTTATCCCAGTAATGCACAATGTCATAATTTTTAAACAAATTATTACCAACATTAAATTTATAGGTTAAGCAAGAAAAATTACATGATCACTACAAAAGAGGCCAAAGGACATTTTCTGAAATTCAAACCCTAATCCTAATAGAAATAGGGTATGGCATAACCATATAAAACCATGACATATGTTAACTAAATATAACATTTACAAAATAAAGATTTCCATCAAATGATCAGAGTCTAATTGCTAATGGTATATAATAAACATATCAAATTTCTAAGAAAACATACCAAGATATCTACCACTAGATAAATGAATCAAAGATAACCACCCAATTCACATTAGTGGAAATACACAGTATGACTTTTGAAGCTGTAACACACCCAGAAAGTAGTTCCTTAAACAGTTCCCTATACTTATGGCACCATGCTTCATAACTGACTAAAACTATCATCCTAGTAACAGATGACTTTACCAAAGGTCAGTATTTGATTTCTGAAGTAGCCTTCTGTAAGAATTCTGACCCAAAGAGGCACCCTATACTACCTGATAAATAACTCAATCCATTTCTTTCTCATGTTTATAAACAGGGATAGAAGCAAAACATACACCATATTTTCATCTACTATTTACTGTATAAGTATGGTATGCCAGGTACTAGATATGTTACCTCACAAGTAATCAAAAAAATCTGGAAAACTAGGTATTATTTCTATGTTGAAGTAGAGGCAGCCAGCTAAAGACAGCAAAGCTGGAATACAAACACAGGCTGAGTGATTCTTAAGTTCATGCACTTAACTACTGCTTAAGAAGTGAAAAGACAGAGGCCATCAGTAAGCCAAAGCTTTCTAGCAGGGGGAGAAGAAAAGCAATATAATCAGATAAGAGATGAACTGAACCACCAGAATGAGTCACCAGAAGAAGGAATAATGGACATCTGTGCTTCACTATTCAGCCACCACAAAATTTCTGTTCTCCACAGATATGTATGTACTTTGAAATACAAATACACCCTGATCACTCAAGGTAACCTAAGCACATCTCTGTTCTTTGCAATCTCAAAAAGTTTGATATGTTTACTAAAAGGAAAGCAAACACATGGGAAACAGTAACTGAAGATGCAAATAAAAGAAACTTTGAGTTATCATTTAACAACTACTAAAGCAATTGTGACAGGCATAATTCTAAAAATGGCCCTCAAGATTCCATGACCTAATGTGTGGCATCTGTGAATGTGATATGGTATCTTACCCATGATTATGTTATATGGCATAGCTGGCCACATAAGATAAAGAGATTATCTGGGTGGTCCTAATTTAATCACACGACCCCTTTAAAAGCTGAGTTTTCTCTGGCTGCTTGCAGAATAGGAAGTCAAAGAGATTCAAAATGCAAACAGGACTTAAGTTATTGCTTGCTTTAAGATGGAGGGGGCCAAATATAGAGGCCCCCCCAAAAATAAAGAATGTAAGTAGCCTCTAAGAGCAGAGAGAGACCTCCAAGCAGCCTCTTGCTGTGAGCCAATAAGGAAATGGGATGTTAGTCTTACAGCCACAAAAAACTGAATTCAGCCAACAAACTGAATAAGTGTGAAAGTGGATTCTTCTCTAGAGCCTCCAGATAAAAGCCCAGCGTGCCTGACAATTTGACTTCAGCCTTTTAAGACCCTAAGCAGAGAAGGCAGTTGAGCCATACCTACAGCTCTAACCTACAGAACTGTGGAACTAATAAACAGGTGTTGGTATAAGCTGCTACATTTGTAGTTGGTAGTTATGCAGCAATAGAAAACTAATAAGTAGTTAGAAGTGTTTAAATACAAAGGTAAAATAAAACTAGTGAACTATTACAATTCAATAAAAAAGACAAATAACCTGATTAAAAATAGGCAAAGGATCTGAATAGACATTTTTCCAAAGAATATATACAAATAGCCAATAGGCACATGAAAAGATATTCAACATCATTAGTCATCAAAAAAATGTAAATCACAACCACGAGATACTATAGTTCACACCCACTACTAGGATGGCTATAAAAAAAAGACAAATAACAAGTGTTAGTGAGGATATGGAAAAGTTACAACCCTCATACACTGCTAGTAGAAATGTAAAATGGTGCAGCTGCTTTGGAAAACTATCTGGTGCAGCTCCTGAAATGGGTAAATGGAGTCACTATATGATCCAGCAATTCTACTACTAGGTATTTACCCAAGAGAAGTTAAATCTTATGTCCACACAAAAACTTGTATACGAATGTTCACAGCAGAATTATTCATAACAGTCAAAAGGTGGAAACAACTCATCAATTGATAAATAGATAAATCGTATATACAAACAATGGAATATTATTTGGAGATAAAAAGAAATGAAGGTCTCATACATGACAGAACATGGATGAACCTTGAAAATGCTAAGTGAAAGAAGCCAGACACAAAAGACCATATATGGCATGATTTCATTTATATGAAATGTCCAGGATAGGCAAATCTAAAGAGACGGAAAATAGATTAGTAGTTCCCTAGGACTGGTTGGGATGGGGATTTTAGTGGGCAATATCTAAGGGGTACATGGTTTCTTTTTGGGATAATGAAAATGTTCTAAAATTGATTGTGGTAATGAATGCACTACTCTGTCAATATACTAAAAGTCAATAAATTGTACACTTAAAATGAGAATTGTATGGTATATGAATTATATTTAAATAAAGCTGCTACAAAACTGGTATACTATTGGTGGTATTATAAATTTATGCAACTCATTTGGGGAAAAAAACGTGGCAAGAAGTATAAAAAAGATTTGGACCCTTTGACTTAAGAATTTGTCTTAATGAAGAAATTAATAGCAGCAAATTGCTATGAGTGGAAATAGTTAACTTTTTTTTAATCACAGCAAAAAAGTGGAAACAAGTTAAGCATCCAACCTTAAAAGAACTATAATGCAAATGTTGTTTTATCAATAAGGTGGAATATTAAGTAACTAAATGTTCATTAGTTCAAGCTGATAATGAGTGTCTTATATGTCAAGCACTGGTGCTAGGATGATAAAACTGCAACAGGAGCAAGACATCCTTACTGTAGTCGAAGACAGCAAATTATTAAACAAGGGAATCAGAGAAGATTATCAGAACACAGTGAGACCTAAATAATCAGGAAGATCAGAGTAGGACAAAAGGAGACTGGAGAAGGAACGAGAATAGTATTTCCTGTATGAATACCCAGACATGGAAGAAAACACAAGCATTCCAAAAACTGAAGGAGCTCCAAACACAGTATGCAAGTAAGAGAATAAAAAAAGATGATGCCCAATAGATAGGTAAGGGCCAGATCATGCTGGACCTTGTAAGTTAAGTAAGAAGTTTGATTGTTCTCTAAAGCACATGAGAAGTTTTAAAGGAAAGTGGAGAAACATAAATTTACATTTCAGAAAGATTATTCTGGTTGTAACGTGGAAAGCAGATTACTGAAGAGCAAGGCTGCAAATCAGGAAATCAGTTAAGAGGGTACTGCACAAAGATTATGGTGGTCTGGACTACAGTAGTCAGGGTAGAGATGGAGAAAGGTAGAGATTCAAGGAATATTTTGGTGGAGTGGCCAGACCTCAGTGACTGAAAGGATGCAGAAAGAATGGGTTGGAGGAATCAAGGATATCTATCAGGACCCTGACAACTAAATGGAGGTACCATTCACTGAGATAATAAAGAGGGAAGAGCAAGAGATTTAGAAAGGGAGAAGGGAAGTTCTTTAGTCTGAAGTACTAGTGAGATATTCTACGACACTGGGCTGTTGGCAGTTCAACATATAGCTCTGGAGTTCCAGAGACACCAAAATTAGGAGGTAATAGCATACAGAACATAACTGAAGCCAAAGAAAATGACACTGCCCAGAACTCACAGAGTACAACAAAAATGTAGCCAGTACAGAATACAGTGAAACACCAAAATTTAAAGAAAGAAAAAAGAAACCAGCAAAGGAAACAGAGTTAGGAACAATCAGGGAGGAAGGAGGAAAATCAGGAGTGTGCTATCAAAAAGCAAGTCACTAGCGTCAAAGGTACCTAGAGGTCCAGTTATGGACAACTGTAACAACTATATGAAATGGAAAAACTTTGCTAAAATGTTTGGTGAAGAAAGTAGAATAGAAAATTGCCCATCATTTCAAATTAGAGAAAGAAACTGTCCAAATATGCAAAATACATATAGAAAATATGTAAATGTGTTAAATTTTCAATTAAAATCTTCTGTGGTTATACTCTTCAATTAAAAATTGTTACAAGTGTTCTTTTTCTTCCCTTCCCTTCATGCACAACTAGTCCAAAACTCATTAGGTGGGACCAAGCAAGCTTATAGTATACTATCAGAACTGAGGTGTATATTTAATAAAAATAAATGAACATGGTACATGCCAGGATAAAGAAAATAATAAGCTCACAGTTTCACAGAGAAACAAAAGACCCAAAGGCTCTCACAGTGTGTGGCAAATGCTATCAACTAGGTTCAGAACGCTACAGAAATATACAAGTGGAGGATCAAAACCAGGAAGGAGGAGGGGGATCAAAACAGGTTAACACCTGAGCTGAATTCTGAAGCCTGGGATGGAGTCAGATGAAGAAGTCAAAAAAAATTTAGAAAGTATTCCATGGGGTACAGTGCACTGACCACACACAAAAGTAAAAACTGTAGTTCCATAGGGCTCAAGTAAAAGCTACCCATGAGTCAGTAGCAAAACAAGATTAAATAGATAGGTAGAGGTCAAGATACAAAGGACCTCGTATACTATGAAGCCAGGAGGCACAGACCTTACTCTCACCGCAGACCAATACAATGGATAGTAAAACGTGATCAGGGTCACATAGGAAGTTAACTGCCAAAATGTATTCTTAACTTCTATTTTATATTACCTTCAATGATAATGTGTAAATGGCAGAGAAGGCTAGGAAAATACAACGGCAGACTCAGCTATTCCTGTCACCAAGACCTCCTTGTGGGAGACTTGGGGAGAATAAATAAGCAATCTCCATCCAAGAGGGAATAATTTCCTCCTCGGGGGAAGGCCAGGTTTTAGTTATGGCAAGAAGGTAGGAAGTGTTTTGTAAAGAGATCAAAAATTTAACGTTGTCCCTTAAAGCGGCAGTCCCCAACCTTTTTGCCACCAGGAACCAGTTTCATGGAAGACAATTTTTCCATGGCCTGAGGGGGGCGGGGGGCCGGTGTTGTGCGTGTGTGGGGGGGTGTAGAGCTCAGGCGGTGATACACGGCCCATTTCCTAACAGGCCGCAGACAGTACCAGGCCATGGCCCAGGGTTTGGGGGCTGCAGCCTTAAAGAGCAGGGTTCCCAAATAACACAGCTAAAGGACTGGCAAAGATGTCAATAGCGGCAGGAGTCAGGAATGAAGCAGCAGAAAGTATCATGAAATTTGGGTTTATAATTATTTTTCAATACAAACCATCTGGAATTTAAATAATCTCAAATGAATAATGTAGTAATGCTCAGAAAATTCTATACAAGAGAAGACAAAGAGTTTTTATCATGCTATCCCCAATTTGATAGGCTCTGAGCTCCAAAATTCAATCTTAGGAACAGCATTATCTCGCAAAATATAAGGCAACCACTTAAGTAGAACTTCTTCTCCCTCTACATAGTGAGAAGCAAAACAATTATGTAACTGCTCTAACTCAAAAATCTACCCTGTTAGCTCAACTACAATTAGAAAAAATTCTATTTTATCTGACTGGGCACTTCAGATAGACATCATAATTGTCCCTTCCTCTTTTTTTTCTATGTATTACATTACAAGTATTTGTATGTGAAAGAGATGAAATAGTCATATTAACTAACCCCCCTTCAAGGTTAATGATCACAGTTTTTCTTAATTTGATGAATACATCAATACATTTTACTAAAATGTGTCTGGCAAAAAAACACAAAATACCTGCTGGAGAGACGTGAGGACAGCTGCTCATTTTCAGCAACTTAAGTGTATCACTGTTGTTGGCCACTAGTACTTTGAGGGATGGATCATCTACTGGAGTATCATCTATCTTAAGCGAGGACAGGGATTTAGAGTTTACAAACACAACTGTCAGTGCAGAGATGAAGTGAGACTGGAAAGCAAAAAGGAAAAAAAAAAAACCATTGTTTCAGTTTTTAGAAATGAGAATCGAAGGGTTTCCATATAATACTCAATATGCTTTATCTGAACCCTAATGATATATTTCATAACTGTTTCAGGGGTAGCACCCCTTCACTCTGTTGTTGAGAAATATTCTAAAAAAAAAAGATGACTATCTGCCATCTTTGAGGACAGCCTTTTTACCTGTGGAAGAAAAACTGATTTCAAACCTCAGGATAAGGTGGCCCTAAATCACAGCAACCATTGCCAAGTAAAAAGAGAAATTCTGGAACCCAAGGTGAGAATACCTCTCAGACACTTCATTTCACCACATCTGGAAACCCTATTCTAGTGTTCTGGAAAACAAACTACATTTTTTCTGTTTGATAGTTATGACGATTAAAATAGTAATAACTATAAACACAATCATTAAAAATTAATATAACAATCAATTCAAAAGCTATGAAAGGCTCGTTGGGAACACGGAAGCTCATAAAAAATTTGATTCTAAAACAATCAAAATCATATTTAAATATGATTCCAAATGTAAAACTCCCAAATGTTACATTATCTACAGTATTTTCAATTTTAATGTATTTTGTTGACAAATGTACCAATGTATCATTCAATGTATCATATACACATAAGCATCTGTTGGACACAGAATCTTACCTAAAGGAACCACTGTAGAGAAACAGGAATTAAAGCATGCTCAAAGTATGCAACTCTGAATCATAGTTAAGCAGCTATATAAACAATGGGTAAAGAATCCAGGGAAGTAAAAAACAAAGGCCAATACATGCTTTAACACATTCCTCTATATAACCAACTTCACTCTCTACTTAGCTTTATAAATTCTCTAAAGCAGTGAAAAAGGATGAGGGCAGGCTAATAGTCAAGAAAGTACAATGAAACATTACCTTCTTGGTCACATTCCCTTATTTACTTTTTCCCTACTATGATTAAGTAACTGGTTGACTACTTAAATTTTGATTAACTATCTAACTACTTAAATGATAACATCTTTTGCCTAATATTTTCATATCAAACTCAATTATATTTTGTACAATCACATTTCTTCACTCGTATGCTCATGACTGCATCACTGACATCTTTCCCCATTTCTCCAATTTAGCTCTAGTCAGACAGATTTCTTCTATGTTCTCTTCGGTTCTCTCAGGATTTCCAAAATATAGCAACACCCTATTTCAATCTCCTACAAAGCCATAAAAATAAAACAAAAAAAGGAGAACAATATGAGCATCCTAGACCCATTTAATAAGGAAAGCAGTCTTAGCTGCATCAATATTTCCTAATCAGTATGCACAGCAATACCCAATAAAATAAAAAGGAAATTAAATTATGTTCAACATACCTTTTAATGTGCTATATCTTATATATACCATATGTGTGATAGGTATATTTGTTTTAATTATGGTAGGTACACTGAAAATTCAATTCAAAACATTTCATTCCCACATGAAGCTTGAACATGATACTATTCTGTGTAACCGTTTCTTAGAGCAAGGTCTTTGAACCATCTTAATCAGAATCACCTGGACTACTTGCAGATGAAACACCGTGGCCCCAAGGAAAAATATTTTTTTTCCTAGTGTGGCAGTCAGTGTGTTAAAAGGGTGTCTATAGTTTAGTTTCCAGTAATACTGAATATTAACCTACTGAACATTAGCTAACATCCTTAGCTGCCTTTCTAAAACTGCATTCTTATTTTTCTATTTGAAGAGAAGACTAATTATGTGTAGGATCATGTTAGAACATATGTATGAATATAAAGTTAATTCTTTACCAAAAAAATTGTAGTCTTGAAATAAAATCTATAAATTAATCTAAACTGACTAACTTTGCTCGAGAATAAATCTTCACAGAACACTTGTCAGAAGATTTTATAAGTCAGCTATACCTGTTCTCAATACTGGCAGTCTCTACTTTTGATTCTAACTTCACCAATCTGTTCTGAAAGCCCAAAAAGGAGCATCTATTGTGTGTCTTTTTTCTAATATGCTTGTTTCCAAGTTTTACTTACCTACTTTCTTTTAGTACTTCCTATAGAATCCTCTGTAAATTCATTTACCCTTTAACTTTACCAATGAAGAAGTACAAGGTGACTAAAAAAAACAAAAGCTGGCCAGGCAGGGTGACCCACGCCTACAATCGCAGAGACTCAGGAGGCCAAGGTGGAAGGATGGCTTGAGGCCAGCAGTTTGAGACCAGCCTGAGCAACACAGTGAAACTGTGTTTCTACAAATAATTTTAAAAATCAGCTGGGCATGGTGGCATGCTCCTGTAGTATCAGCTACTTGGGAGGCTGAGGCAGGAGGATCGCTTGAGCCCAGAAGTTCAAGGCTGCAGTGAGCTATGATTGTGCCACTGCATTCCAACCTGGGTGAAAGAGTAAGACCATCTCAACAAAAGAAAAGAAAAAAAAAGAAAACAGAAAAGCCTTTAAAAAAATACTATCTCTTAAATATTCTAAATAGTAACTGTTTTCCATTATGTATATATACTACTTTTCTTACACTCTCACTGTCAATACAAAAACAGGGTAGGCTTTCCCTGGATATCTCAGTAACAGATAATAAAGCAAAACCAGCAGATACCTTTGGTAAGTCCATAAAGCTTGGTCGGGCAGTTGAAATAAGTCCAAGTGTTTTTAAAGAGCAGTTCACAAGTTGTGATAATATATCACAAGCTGCTTCAGCTGATTCTTTGCTGCTGTCCACCTTGGAAAAGAAAATATCATTTACCCATGTACATATTTACATGTCTCTGTGCATATCCTAATTTTATAAAAGCAAGAAACATAGTTATTAATTTATTTCATTTAACTTAAAGAATATTTATTGTTTCAATCATCCACCCTCATCTAAAACTTTAGCCTTTTCTGAGTCTCTCTGAAAAATTATAAGGGCAATTGTCAAGACAGCTTGCATTACAACAAAATACATATTTAATGTTGAAAGAACTTGGTTTTTGCATTCATTTATTCCAAAAAGATTGTATAAACTAATGGAGTAAATCAATTTATAGTCTTTGAAAAATAATTATAAATTTGGTAGTGGATCAAATGATATAATGTAAATACAGAGTGTCCCAAAAATCTCTATACAAAGGAAAAATTTTGTAATGAATACTTTGTAAATAAAGGTACATTTAGCTATAATTTCCCATTTTCCTTATGTATGGCAACTTATAGGACACCCTTTATAGTTCCTAATGGTACAGATTTACTCAGAATGTTCAGGTGAATCACAACCTAGGATTCATCATTAATGTTAGTAATAGAAAGATGAATGCAAAGTAAAATGAGAGACTCCAACCAGTCAGGCATGAAAATCTGAACCAAATAAGATGTATATTCTTCTACGTAGACATTTCCTGGGGGAAGGGTAATATGGCCAAACTCCTCCTCAATGATTCAAGGAGCCCTTCTATCAAAAAGTTAGTTGTTCCCTGGGTTAAAAAGCATCTTAGAATAGTAAAAAGTAACATCATTACTTTAACCTTCAAATTCATGTACATTATTTTATACCTAAAATGTTAAAAGCTGGTTGTAAAACTAATGTACTAATTTATGTTACAGTTTCAGAGCTGTTTATATGTGGTCCCATGACCAGCAGCATCAACATCACCTAGGAACTTGTTAGATATGCAAATTCTCATGCCCAACCCAGATCATCTGAATCAGAGACTTTGGGGGTGAGACTCAGCAATCCTTAGCTTTACAACTCCTCCAGGTGATTCTGATGCACACAAAGTTTGAGAACCATTGTTCTACACTAATAATACTGACTACTAACCTCTTTGGCCCATAGTCAGTGATGACTTTAACATTATCAAGAGAACCCAGAAGAATTCTGTGATGTGGCTCTTTTTGTAAATTATTTCCTCAGGAAAATAAGCAACCCTAATAAGAATGTTAAACTTATAGCACAAATGGTTTTATGAGGGTTATATAAGTTGTATACACCTGAACTGTGTCAGAGGGCTGTAAAACAGAAATAAAGATGACTGGCCAATCTACCGGATGGAATTGGTCTTTAAGACCTATCAGATGACAGATCCCATTTCATTTATCTCATCACTGCATGATTTCCGATACCTTCCCTCTAGCACAGAAAAGAAACAAACAGTTCTCTTTGGCATTCTTCCATGTACCCTTTTCTATTTCTAAATAAAACCTTTTATGTAAAGTTTCTATGCCTCCTTTTTACTTGAAGGTCTCATATCAAAAAGCCATCAACAAACAATACTCAGTCCCTGTTAGAAATAGTAGTAATTAAGTTCTACTCAATTATAATCTCCCCAATTTTTATTTTATCATATATTTCTTTTCCTCAAATTTGTTCACAATAATTCAATGTAACTACAGCCTTGGTCAATGAGCTATATTTATTTGGTGGCTGCTTTATTTAGTGGCTGCTTTTGCTCTTTTAAGAACTAATAATTATAATATAATGGAGTAATTTAGCTCCATCAATTATCAGAATATTTTCTGACATCTTGTAAGGCATGCAATAATTCTAAATTTTTAAGCACTTTCCCTAAATAGACAAATATTTTAAAGACATGAGAAGATATACTAGCTTAGGACACAAAAGCCACTAAAAATGACTTAGTTTTTAAAAGAAGGATTTAATATATATATTACCTTGAAGCTCACATATTGTAGATGGTTTGAATGTCTTTTAATAATCTGTTTGATCAGCTCTGGATGTGTAGCTTTCAAATAAGATGTAGCTGGTTGATTCAGTTCAAATTCAAAACATCTCCACAAGTCAGGCATGTGGAATACCTGGTTCCAGTTGCGGCAAACTTGTGAAGCATGAGCCCGGTCAAGAAGAGGCAAATACTTAAATATTTGGAGAATAATATCCTGAAGGAGATTACCCCAATCACAAGTCTGAGAATGCTCATTTGTAGTCCTCAGTTTCTTGGATTTCTCTGCAGTATCTTCTTCTGATGAATTACGGTCACTATCTCTTCCTCCTCGTTTCATCCTATTCAGAAAAAACGCATCATTTTTTTTTCATTCTACTTAATTTTTAAATAGAAATAAATTCAAAATTCATACTTCTATCACTAGGATGTGAATATGTATTTATACATACAAACAAATATGTAGGAAGAACTGGATAATTGAAGGAGAATATCAAAACAAATTATAATAAAAAAGGGTGATAAAGACCAACTATGATTTTACAAATGCTACATATTTTTGGCAGGTGTTTTTAAACATTTACATTTATACTGTACTACTTGGGGGTAAGTTTATTGCGACTTTGAAATTAAACCAAGAATTTCTATTTCAGAAGTTGTGTTCAACTAACTAAAATGAATATGAAAGAAAACCTACAGTGATACTTTCTAAAGGTTTCTTAAAAGTCATCTAAAGATATGTGCTATATTTGAGTTCTGAATTCAAGGCAATCCAGGGTCCCAAGAACTTCCAGGAAGGATGTGAATTAAGTAGCCAACAGATCTTCCACACTGAATAGTCTGTAATATATGTTACAGCCAGACATTTCCAACCTCTGCTTAAAATAAGTAAATCCACCCCTACTATGCATTGTTTGGTCTGGAATGTGGTTTCTTCTTCAAACACATCACTTACTGGTGCGAAATTTTCCCCAAGTTGTGTTTCTGACTTACACCTACGTGTTTATTCTACGTATTCTTAATACCTTCATTCCATTTGTTTCTTTGAAAGATAGTCTTTTTATGGCAAAATAGTATGGTTAAAGAGCTCTGGAACCAGGCTCCTTGGGTTTGAATCTTGGCTCTACCTCTCACTGGCTATATGACTTTGAGCAAATTACTTGACCTTCCTGTGCTTCAGTTTGCAAAATGGGAATAATAAGACACAGCGTTCTTGTGAGGAATAAAACAGTACATAAAGGCTTTTTGAAAAGAGAGATGACTGTTGGAACTCCAGTACAAGAAAGCAGTCCAGTACTAAAGACATTAAAGTGCCAGACACAGTAAAAACAGAAGTTACCAATCAGAAGGCAAAGAATGATCTTATTTTTGTTTTAAAATGAAGTGCGTGTGAGAGAGCAAGCAAGCGTGAGCGTGCAGTCTTGTGTTGGAGAAACACACGCTGGAAGTACAAGTCACCAAATTATTATAGTAACCAACAGTAGCTAGTGGGATTACAGGTGATTTTCTTTTTTTTTACACATTTCTTTCAATGTCAATACATTACATCCTAATCAGATTTTTTTTTAAAAAAGTCTCGTTTTGGCTACAGTAGCTCACGCCTGTAATCTTAGCACTCTGGGAGGCGGAGGCAGATCACTTGACACCAGGAGTTCAAGACCAGTCTGAGCAAGAGCGATCTCTACTAAAAATATAAAAAATTAGCCTGGCATTGTGGAGCATGCTTGTAGACCCAGCTACTCAGGAGGCTGAGACAGGAGGACCACTGGAGCTCAGAAATTTGAGGCTGCAGTGAGCTATGATGACTCCACTGCACTCTAGCCTAGGAGACAGAGCGAGACTCTGTGTCAAAAACAGAGTCTTGCTTTGATTTGCTAGTTGGAAGGGAAGTATAGCAGGCCCTAAACTAAACGGGGTAACTGCAGACACTCACTAGTATTCTTATTTAGAGCCTGCAATGCTTTTCTTTTGTTCCTAGAGAACAGTTCTGGCAGGATAGTGGTTTGCACCTAAACTTGGGGTCATGGCCTTTCAAAAGGATGGCGTGTGGCTCCAATTCTCTTCTGGCATATCAGCACATAGGAATTTCTGGTTCCTGTGTGGGATGATGGATGTGCATATGCATGACTATAAACCAAGTATGTCTCTGCAGACTTTCTCCATCCAGCAGCTAGCAAAACTTATAAAAAAGGACTGGGGGATGGACAGTAGAAAGTGAATGACAGCGGCCATTGGACTTCATGCCATGAAAGTCAGTCCAGGAGGTCTTAGCACATGGGCAATAAACTGTCTATTCATCATGGCTCCTACTTCCAACTGTGTGAATAAAGTGAAGTAAATGATGTTTATCTTATCGAGCAGGGGAACAGGATGGGAGACAACAGAATGACAGATGTGACAGCAAGAGGGTAGGTAGTTTTACGGAAGACTGCGACTTATGTATAAATCTAAAAAAGAGTTTTCTTAAATGTGTTTAAAGAAAAGGTAGTATAATCTACAGAGTAACATTTAATATAAAAAACACTCTCCTAATAATAATGACCCACTAGAGGTTAAGATAACATTGTCATTATGACCCATTTTTCTGCTTTAATTTATCCTGAAAGCTTACTTTAATGTTGGTATATAAAATTTGGGTCAAAGAACAAAGTGTTTGCCACCCAGGGCTTATAATTTCTCTTCTGACTACCTGAAACTACTCAGAATTTTGAGATACAGAGATTCAAAAAAGAATGAGGCAGTCTTCATAATTTCTACACCTTATTACAGAATGTTGATTGCCTGTTTCTGAAGAAAAGTCTTCTAAAACCAGAACTATTCAACTTAAAGATGGAATGATTCATTTTACCTTAGCGTGTATGGATACATAAATGAAAATAAAATGGTAGCCTTATTCCCATAATCTTTGTTAATATCTTGCTGGTCATAACAACAGAAATTTTCTTTTGTATGTTATAGCCCTACTTTAAATAAATCATATTTCAATATTTTCCAAGTTCAGGGGGGAAGAAGTTGACAAATATTTTAAGAAGTATGCAAAACTAAGGTACAGTTATCTCTTGACTTAGATATAAAAAGACTATCTGATCACCAAAGTATATTTTAAGCACTTACTAGTTTATGAGTAGCCGAACAAGTCTCTAAATTATCATACCTAATAAAACTGTAATGTCATAATTATAATACATTAAGCAATAGAAAATATGTAAGGCCAAATTCCAATAAAGATGGCCTCTGTCCTAACCTCATTAATGCACGAAAATACAACAGAAGTGAGTGGGCACCTAATAAAAATTTTAAATGTCAATTTTTCCAAGTCGGTACCATTTATTCATGCAAAAATTTACAGTGCTTCCAAAAGTATTTTACTGAATCTATTTACACATGAAACTCTGCTGTAAAAAAGTTAAACAATTCAGAGCACCCACCAGTCTGTAAATAATTTACATCAATGTACTTTATATTTCCTACTTTTAATCAAAGTGAAAACACCTCTTATATTTGAACAAAAGGAGTGCAGAGAACCAAGCTACACAATAAACGTCAAGGAGACTCTCTAGAATATGAAAACCAGGCCTCTTCGGGGCTCTGGTAGTTTAAATTCCTACAATTCCAGGCCCCAAATAATGCAACTTAAGCCCCTAGAGCTTTCTGGTGAGGGACTGATATTACCACCGAGTGCCAAAAAGCAAACTAATGAGGAAAGACTACAGACTAGCTGAGCAGCACAGGGAGTTAGTGAGCTCACTAAACATTTCCATAAACTGAAAGGAGCAGTCAGATGAAGAGAGGAAGAGAACACTTAGCTGTGTGACCCTCATTGTATCAGGCACTTCTATGTACACTGGGCGTGCAGTTAATTTTAAAAGCCCATTTGTACTTAGCTCTGAAACGCTTTGGCATCCCATTTCCTTTATGTTTTGTTTTGACTAATATCAAAATTAATATGCATTCTTTGGCTGAAATACAATAAAACAACAGAAAAAGGTCAACTCTCAGAACTAAATGGTAGGGAGAGCATGGTGATGAAAATGAGTCCGGTGGTCATACATAGATAACTGAGGTGGCATTTCTGTAAGTATTTCAAGGGTAGCAGAAACTAACACTTTTTTTTCAAGTTAGTGTCTAAAAGATCTGGACCACTCGATTGGACAGTACTGGCAACATCAGAATGACCGTCTCTCTCAGCTCGTCCTCAGCTTGGAGACGCAGACCTATTTTACCGGGCTGCTTCCTAATCGCTGCCTGCAACAGGCTGCTCACGCTGAAAGCGGGCGTCAAGCTGTTCATCACAAGTTGACCAAGTTTTCCACTCGGCTACGCGGCGAGGGTGTCCCCTCCTCCCTGCACCACCTCCACGGACTGGCTTTCCCTAACTTAACTAACGCGCCCTGCCCTCCGCAGTGTGCTTTGACATCTCAGTGCCTCTCGTTTCTCAGGCTACCAGCGCGGGCGTTGCTGCCGCCCGAAGAGCCTCGCAGAGCGCGAGCTCCACGGTGCCTGTCACCAATACCGGCCAAGGGTAATAAAGCCGGGCAAGAGCCACGGCACACGCACCACGCCTTGTTGACATGTTTTGAAGCAGGCACTGCGGGGAAACGCCCCCGAGCAGGCTCCAAGGTCTGGCGCCGCGCCCCACGCCGCGCCTGGCGCTCCCGAGGGCCGGGACGCGCCCCCGGGCCCGCCCACCAGCGCTCGGCGGACCCCTCCTCCCTGGCCCCACCATGGCAGCGGGGCGCGGCCCTACCCCTCCGCCGTTACCTGCTGCCGGGAGCGGCTTCCCCCACACACCACCCCGTGCTCCGAGGACGGCGGCGGCGGCTGGTCCCCAGGCTCTCACATGAGGCCCCCCGAGGCCCCCGCTCCGCGCTCCCGCCGCCGCGGCCCCCCGCGCTCCGCCCGCATCCGAGACGCTGGTCCCGCGGCGGGCGCCAACGCGGCTCCACCTTTGCGGCTCAGGCTGCCCAAGAAGGAGCCTTCTTTCCGAGTCCCGCGCTGTCCGCGTTCTGGTACCGGGACCCGGGTCGCCGCCAGAGACTTCCTCAGCAAGCTGCGGCCACCGCTAATGCCCCTGCGCCTCGGCCCACAAACGGAGTCCAAAATGGCGCCCAGGGCTCGCGGCCGCGCGCTTTCCCTGGCGCGTCTCCGCCCGACAGGGGCGGGGCGGGGCCGCGCCCAGGCGGGAGCGCGCGCTGCCGCCGGCCTCCGCCTCCCGGTTCCAGAAGGACAGTCCTCCGCCTTCTTGCCCGAGACGTGACGCCTGCTTTGAGGGGATTTTTTTGTTTTGGAGCAGAATATGTGAGGGCTGGAACTAGCTAGTTGCCGAAGAGACTCTTTGCCGTTGAAACTGCAAAGTTTAGGGAGGTGGAGCAGAAAAAAGGAAGGAAGGAGTGTCTCCCGAGACTGCCGTAACTGGGCCGCTGGTTCCACTGGCGGGACGATAAACAGTGGCCGCCGACAGCGACACACCTCGGAGGAGGAGGCGCGGCCCTGGGGCGGCCACTCCCGGCGCCTTGCGACCGCAGGGGCTCAGTACGGTCTCTAAAGGTAGACACACAGCATGTGCACGTACGTGATGTTTAAAAAACTCCAAGGAAATACGTCAGGATGGTGACAGTGTTAACACTGAGATTACAGACGGTTTTTATTTTAAAATTATTTGGATTTTCCAGTTATTCTATTAACAAAATAATTTTTATCTTCAGAGTTAGTACTTTTTAAAAACCACCTTTGCTTTATGAAGTACAATCCCTGAAATTTGTAAATAGCTTTCTGAAACACAATGGGGAAAGTGTAAAGGAGTAGGCGGCTATTTAAAAGAGAACCTCTGGTGAAGCCTTTCGTAAGGTAGAGCAACTTTGTGGGTAACTGCTGCCTAGTGACTTGTTTTAAAAGTTCGGATTTTTGGATACTGGGCTTTCTTGAGGTTAGAAACATCGTTAGGTGCAAAAGTTAACTTGAATCACGCACCATCCGTCCCCGACCCGCAAACAAAGAAAAAAAAATGAGAGAGAAAGTAATTTTCCATCTAAAGATGTCTGAAGTCTCTGATCCTTGCGTAAGAGACTGGAAGGCAGTGATTGATGTCCATGGGGCTCTCCATTCTTCCTTTTCCCCAAGAAATTGAGCTAGGGTGCCATATGTAAAATTGCATTAAGATTCAATGTGGAGAAATGCTGGTGGTTTTTAGTTTTTTTTTTTTTTTTTTTTGGAGGGCCTGGCCAGCAGATCATCAAGTCGAACTGTACGAAGTCTCTAGCAGCATAATAATGTGGATTTACCTGAACTGCAACATTTTTTTTAGGTCCTTCAGTGACTGAATGATGAGCAATGATGGGATGTTGTAACAAAGGCAGGGGTAATTATTAGAAGAAGGAAAATAAGTCAAATACAGACTCATTATTTAAACCTAGTTCAATAGTATAAAAGATCAGCAAAACTCATTATATCAAGTCAGCAAACATAATGAATATAGATTATATCACATTACTATTATATCACATTAATATTATATATTACACTCCAGAGTCCTTTTTTTTTTCTGCTACAGTCTGTCCTCCTAAACAAGACAAGAACCTTGGCCTTGGCACACTTTACTTACTGAATACCTTGTCTTCTTTCCTGTTATTGTTGAAGATTTTACTTCACATTTTTTAAAAGAAGAAAAGAAACATGTGCTTATTTTTAAATTACTCAGTGCTTATTTACATTTATTAATTGTGTCATCAAGATCAGTGGCATGGGAGTTAGGGGAGAGGGTGGCTGTTGAACAGATTGATCTAGCAGGGCAAAATGTTTTATTACTGACCCTGTTTGGAATTGCCAGTGCACATGATAATGAAAAGCAGACCAACAATTAGTCAGCTTTATTATTGTTTTTAAATTCTCCATAGACAATGTACCCCCTCCACCAGGGGTAGACCATTCCCATGCCCATCCCCACCTTGGTACACCAATGAACAGGATGGATTATGTTATGTTGCAGAAGTTCCTTACATACCATCTTGTCATTCCATGTTTTTTATGACCTTTACAGTTTTTAGGAGTACTATTCCAGTATTTTGTAAAATGTCCTTCAATTGGGGTTTGTCTGATAGTTTTCTCATAATTAGACATGGGCTATGGGTATTTGGGAAGAAGACCACAAAGGTACAAAGTACCATTGTCATCATATCATATCAAGGGTACAGCTATCAACATGACTTATCCCTGTTGATGTCAACATTAATCAGAGATTGAGGTCAAGTTGCTTCACTGTAAAGTTACTTTTTTCCCTTTCTTTCCATACTGTTCTCTTTGGAAGGAAGTCACTATGTACAGCCAACACTGAAGAGATGGGAGTTATGCTTCATCTACTTGAAGAGGGGAATGTCTACATAAATTACTTGGAATTTTTCTGCCTTGGGAGGTTTGCCTCTGTATCTCTTTATTTTATATTTTTCTCTCTTCATTATTGTCTTTGTAATTTCCTCAGATCAGTCTTCCACGTCACTAATTCTTTCTCCAGCTCTGTTTAATCTCTGTTAAGACAATGTTTGCCTGTATTTTTTATTTCTAAAAGTTTTATTTGGTTCCTTTCCTCATCTACCTGGTCTTTCTTGATGTTCTTTTCTCTTGTTTTTAATTCTTTCTATTTTTCTTTAATCATTTTAATCATATGAATACTAACTGGAAGTCTAATCCTGATATGTGTCAGTGTTTGCTCATGCTGGGTTGTTCCTCATATATTTTATGATTTTTGGATTGTGAGTTCATAGTCTGTGAAACTTTAGCAGTAGGAATTTTGTTCAACCTAGTTAAGGGCGTGTCAATCCAGAGATGTTTTGTGTTTGTTTCTGCTAAGTGCTGCAGGGTATTACAGGCTTGGAACTTTTTATAATAATTTCTTGACATCTGGGTTCTTGGGTTGTAATGAAAATATAAATCCAAATCCCAACCTGAGTGAGTAAGAGCAGGCCTATGGTTATGAGATCTCAAAAAGATTTTTTAAAACCTAGAGCCCAGGCTAAGACATATTAGTTTACTGTTCATTTCCCTGTGCCCTGGATCAACCATTCCTTGAAGAGGATAAAGCTCTTCAAAATTTCTGCTTTATGCAGGCATCTCAATTACAACTTCTCTTGAAAACTCATTTCCTGTCTCTACAGAGTATTAAAATCCAAGCCAGTATGTCTCAGACAATCCTTCCCCACCAATCCCTCTATTTTGATTTTAAGGACCTAAGACTCCTGTCAGTATACTCTCAGTGTCTCTTACTGCCCTTTCATATTTTTTTCTCTTTTTCTCCCTTTGCTATATTATATTTATTTCTTTATTAGAGACAGGGTCTCACTCCATCACTGGAGTGCAGTGGCATAGCTCACTGTAACCTCCAATTCCTGGGCTGAAGTGATCCTCCTGCCTCAGCCTCTGGGATAGCTAGTACTACAGTCATGCCACACCATGCCTGGCTAATTTTTTTTTTCTTTTTTTTTTTTGGTAGAGACAGAATTTTACTATGTTGCCCAGGCTTGGTCTTGAACTCCTGGCCTCAAGCAGTCCTCCCACCTTGGCCTCCTAAATTGTTCGGATTATAGGTGTAAGCTTTGTGCCCAGACATATATTACATATTATCTTTTGACTTGGTGTTTTCCTCTTTGACTCTCTAGAATTTATATCAGTTATTAAAAATTCCATTTATAATTTGTTTTATATATCTATCTAATTTGAACCATCATTTTTAGTAAATTTTACATACATGTATGATATAAAATATATATATTATAACTATATGGTAAATATATATGATTGAAAATAAGTGAGCTGACAGAAAGCTGCAGTAATAATTTTAATTTCTGATAAAATGGAACTGAATCCAAATACTATTAATATTATAAGGGAAAAGATGCATTAATAAAAGTAACTACTGATAAAAGGAATAACAGAGCAAGAAGATAGCGTCATCACAAGCATATATCTGCCTCACAATACACGAAATGCATAAAGCAACAACTGATGAAACTGTAGGAAGAAAAAGCTAGATCAACAACTATAGTTGAAGATTTTCAAACATCCCTTTCAGAAACTGAAAGACCATGCAGGCAAAATATAAGTAGTCATTGTAGATCTAAACAATGCAATTAATAACTTTAATCTCTTAGATAGATAGAATTTTATGCTGCAAAAACAGTTATCATAGAGAAACAAAACACTTTTAAAAAATAGATCATATATTAGGCCACAAAGGAAACTTAAATTCCAAAGGTTTGGCATCATACAGACTGTGTTTGTGAACCACAATGCAATACAGTTAGAAATGAATAATAAAAGGAAAGCTAAGAATGCCATTTGTTTGGAAACTATATAACTAAAATGATACATGGGTCAAAAAGCAAATCATAATAAATTTTTTTCTTGTATGATAATGAAAATACCATATATATCAGAAAAACATCTATACTGACGGAATGAAATTCATAAATTTAAATATAGTTATCCAGAAACAAGTACAATTAAACAAAAGCCCAGTATTTGACTTAATAAGTCAAAAGAAAAAAAGCAACAACAAAAAAAAGCCAAAACATTAAGAAAGTTTAGCGACAGTTTATGAGATGACCACCATCTATTCCTCCCTTTCCTACAGGAAAATGCTGTTCTTCACATTAAGATACGGAGTACAGTTCCCTTGTACCCGGATCTGGGCTTGCCTTGGTGATTTGTTTCAATAACAGAATGAGGCACAAATGATGTTTTAAGTTGTCTGAGGCTGGATCATAAAAAACCTTATAGCTTTCATCTGGGTCTCTTGGCATGCGTTCTCTTCCAGCAATTTCTTTCTTGGAACCAGTTACCATGTTGTGAGAAAGCAAAGCCTCATGGACGAATACATGTGCATAGATGCCCTGGTTAGCAATGCCAGTTGAGCTCCAGTTAAGAGCCAGCATAAACTGCTAGCAAAAGGAGTGGGTGTCTTAGATGTCCAGCCCAGTTGAGCCTTCAGATATCTCCAGCCGAGCTGCTATCTGACAGCACCCACATGAGAGACTGCAAGGAAGAACTATCCAACTGTGCTCAGTCAACCCACAGAACCATGAGAGACAATAATAAATTGGTTTTTTAAGCCACTAAATTTTAGAGATGCTTATTACACAGCAG